CCCTGGAGAAGGCTCCGCCTCCTCCAAGATGTGCAGCGGTCCACCACGCTCGTCCAGTCCTTGCTCGGTGCCGGCGAGTTTTCTTGGGGCTCTGGATGTCTTGGAGGATGGCCAGGGTCTGGTACGGGAAGGGGGGCTGGCGACGGTGAGGTGCACGCGCAGGCTAGCCCGGCAGCTGGGCGAGTACATGGAGCTGGTGTCGGACCTGCTTGCCTCCTCCTTCATCGGCCTCGCGCTTTCTTTTCAAGGTACGTTCTCGGGACTGGATGGCCTTGCTCGGAAAGCATGGCGGGGCTAACTCATGACTGTCTTGTGAGGCGGAGGCCATGTCTGTACGTTTAAGCAGGGGCTTCCGTCTCGATCCTCCTGACCTCCCTCTTTCGAACAGCGGACCCGGACGCTTGTGTACCGGACACGCGCTCCTCCCTGCCCTCGCCCTCTTTGTTGCAGAGCGAACATTCTTGTGTGCGCTTGCCCCTTCAGCAACCGGAGTTGGACGAGGCGTTGAAAGCGCAGCTCGTGCCCCGGGTGCGGGGGCTGGTGCGCCTCTGTCGGCTGTCCAAGGCGCTTGAGCGGTACCGGGGACGGTTGACGGCCTCCTTGAAGGAGGTGGTGAAGACCGTGCTCACGGAATACCTGGGTGTTGCGGAATATCAGCGAGGGGAAGATAAGGTTGGAGCAGACGGGGCTGTGAACACGCCTGCCGAGGCTGCCAGCCCCCCCCTGCCGGTCAACGGGACCAGCGGCTTGCCGACCGCAGCAGCTGCGGCGACGTCAACAGAGGAGAACGCTGGCTTGTTGGGCAAAGGCGTCAGAGCCATGAAAGCAGAGTCCTTCCTGGGGTGTCTTAAGCTTTGTTTCGAGCAAATGCTCCTCCCCATGACGGGCGTGGGCCTGATTCATACTTTCTTAGAGGAGCAGATCAGCGAGGAGCTGAGTCGGATTTTGGACCGCCGACCAGTCCCTTCCTCCTCTCTCCACTCCACGCATCAATCTCAAGGCGAATTGTCCACAGGGTCTCCCGGAGAAACAGGCGGAGAGGGGTCCTTCGGACATGTCAACCGGGAGCCCTCGCTCCCTCCCTCTTCGAGTCCTGCGGTGTCCAACTCATCCAGGACAGACGCGGGATCAGTTCCTCCGTCTCCAACGCCCAGCCCTTCAAACAAGTTTAAAACATTTTTAGAAAAGCGGCGATTGGAGACAGGGGGCGGTGCAAGTAAGAGCGGTACCAGTACTGTGGGCAGTCTGGGGATAGGAGGTAAACAGCAAACCCAAGCCCCTTTCAAGGACGAGGATCAAATAAAAGTTTTGGAGTTGCAAGCATGCAAAAAGCTTAACGACGAAATTTTGAAGACCCTGTGTGATCTCTGTTATCGTCACATCGTTTCCCTGTTGGTGGCTCGGAGGGAGGCCAACGTTAGCATGGACCTGGCAGAAATAAAGGTTTTATGGGACAGCACCATGTCTTTCTTAGGGGCTGTGGAGCAAATTTCTGGTACAGCTGGCTTCGGCTTGAAGAGCACACTGCTTACGCAGGCCAAGCAATTCGTTGAGCATGTGCACAAAGGGGGTGTGGGCCGACTTTTGGCGGCCCTTGACGCAGAGAGGTGGGTGCAGACAGATGTAGGCGCGGAGCGGCAAGCCGAAATTGATCATCTTATGGCCGGGAGGGCCGTATTGGCCGCGCGTGCATCCTCGTCTGTTCAGTCTTTGCAAGAAGACCGTCTACTGTCGTTTCCGAAAGAGGACTCGATCTCCGATGTGCAAGACCTTTCTCATTCCAGGGAGTCAGGGGAGTTGTCTATCAGTAGCTCTATCAGCAATGATGGGCACTCCGAAAATCGGCACAGATTTGTGGCAACCGTGGTTATTATTGGAGAAGAACGTTACAAAGTAGTGTACAGCGCAGTGCTTCTAATCTCTCTTCTGAACAGCTACCTAAATGTTGCCGCAAATTTCCCCATGCTCGCCATGGATGTGATGCAGTGCGTTGTCAACTTGCTTCGGCTTTTCAATACGCGTACGGCGCAATTGGTGCTTGGTGCGGGCGCTATTCAGGCGACGGCTCGTCTACGAAGCATAACAGCAAAGCACTTGGCACTGGCCTCCCAATGTTTGGGACTGATACTTGTGCTCCTCCCACATGTCCGTGCCGCCCTTGCCGCCCACTTGCAGACCAAGCAGCAAGCCTTTCTGATTGAACTCGATCGCCTCCGTCAGGAGTACGCCGAGCATCAGGAACGAGTGCTTACGAAGTTTGTAGCTATCATGGGAGAGCTGATAGCGCACAGTGCGGCCAACACAGGCTTGCGGGAGACGGACTGGGATGCCCTGGGTAGTGCCGCCTGCCGATTCGTAGAAGAGGTTATAAAAGGGACTACAACCATGCATAGGGTGCTTTATCAAATTTTGCCTCCCACGCAGGTCCAGGACATCTTTAATCGTGTCTTTGACCTGCTGGGTCATCGGCTGAAAGAGTATCTGGATCACGCGCGCCCCACTACTAATGCCGGGAGGGAACGGCTGGTGGATGAAGTATCACATCTCGTCACATCTCTATCTATGCTCCGGGGGGTGAATGCACAGGCTCTTGCGGAGCTAGAGGGAACAATCCGAGAGAAATTTTCGCCGGCCTCATTTTTGTCGTCACCTGCTACTACTTCAAATTCGCCATCGCCAACCTCCCTCACCCTGTGCTTGCCTCCGACAGACTTAAATGGCGGTTCTGCCTCACACGAACCAATCCTCACTCCTCCGCGGACCTCAGATGCGCCTGCGTCTGCATCATCTGCCTAAATATTGCGTTAAATGAACACTGCCAAGAGCAAAAGAGCAAAAGAAATGACTGTTTCGTCAATAAGCAGGACGTCTCGTGCATTCTCGCTAACATGACTTTCTTTGCTGTCACTAAGTGTTAATCCAGGCTATGAAAGCAGCCAATTTTTATGAGAGTGGCTATTGTTTCAATTTCTCGCGCTTTGGGTGATGATTTGGCTTTTTTTGCTGTGCCGCGTCTCCTTGACTGTCCTTGCCCACACTGTGATTTGCGTCCTTGCCACCGCCTCTACCTGCCTTCGCTTCAGCTATTTCGCGAAATTCGTTGTCGCGCGGACGTTTTTTCCCTTTATCTTTCTGGTGATTCTTCCCGCCCCTAACTTGAGCTTGCTTGACAGGCTCTCCCACGTCTGCACTTGACACGCCCAACTGGCGAGCGACGTTTAGACACGACATCCTCAGCCCGACACTGGAAGTCTTCTTTTGCAACTCGATCAAGGAGCGACCCAGCTCTGAAGCGGCCTCCGCCATGGCTACCTCCTTCGCTGCTTCTTTCTTAGCTCCCTTATTCTTCTTTTCCTTTGACTGAGTGGGCGGCAAACTTCGCGAAAGACCATTGTCTTCCTGAATGACAGTGGCCACTGTTTGGCAGCATTCGACCAAGGGTTTGAGGTGCTTGCTATTCACGTCGCCGCTCTGCTCTGTCGCTACTCGCCTGAGTGCATCCAAAAGACCAGAAATTTCGCGCTGCATAACTTGCTTCGCGTCCGCCCCAAAGACGCGACGTTGCGCCAACAGCAGAGCCACCAACCGAAGCGCCTCTGCTTGTCGGAATGCTTTCGATACCTCCACAACATAGGTCTTTAGTGGTTGCAGCAAAGTTAGACATGCTGGAGAGGGGAAGCGAGCGACCAATTGTTCAAAAGGGGTGGCGGTCAAGCTAGTCCGCGTGGTCATGTACTCTCGTAAAGCACCTCGATAAAGATCCACCAGCCACGCAGGAGGAGGAGCATTCATGCTAGTGCTCGCGAATAGCGTCGCCCGCGTGCAGACATTCAAGCAGGTCAGAACTGTGTTCGCACGGTCCTTGGTAGGGGCCCTCCTTAGCTCGCCCACCAAGACTCGAGTGAGTGCCTCCACCTCCTCGTCTGCCATCCCGCCTCCTCCCTTCGCCACTGGGAAGAGCCTGGGCCGTGTCTTGGCTAAGCGTTTGTTCAAGAAGTCAGACAGGCGGTGTGAGAGATTGAGCAGCTCCGCTGGCCTCCCAGGCCCCGCTTGAGCCTGAAGCTTTCTGAGGGCTGTCAAGCAGGGCTCGACGCTGAGGAGCAAGAGGCCAGCATGCGGTTGTTTGGAGGCAACTACTTCGAGAAGGTCCAATGTCCGTAGCCGATGCTGCAGCGCTTGTCGTTCGGCTTCAGTGCGAGATTCCTTTCCGCCCTGATGGCTAGCCTGGCGCAAGGCCAGCATGTGGTCGAGGTGACCCTGGTTTTCGTCGTCTCCGCCCAGCAAACGCCGGAAAGCCTCGGGATCGCTGCCATCCACGACAACTTCTTGCTCTTCTTCCTCGCTTTCCGAGTCGTCCGGGCCACCCTCATCCGTTGCGTCGCCGCTTGTAGCCATGCCCGTGGAACTGAGAACTTTGTCTAAGGCGGCCAAGGCGGCGTCATTTTCGCCACTATCGTCGTCGCTTCCGTCGCTCGACTCCGAATCACTCCCATTATCTCCTGTCACCCCGTTTATCTCATCATCCTCGAAACCCGACGTGCTGCATACAACTCCCAAAAGCACCTCGAGTGCCGGGCGAGTAATGGGAGAGGACGCGCACACCACCCCCCATGCCTTTCGGACATTGTCGCGGAGATTACGCACCGGCACGCCTGCCAGTGAGGTAGACAGCACTCCCACGCACAGGTCTGCAAGCACAGCCATGGCGTCGACACCACCCTTCACGTCCCGTCTCTGGGAACGAGAGTCCTTGGTCGTGCCCGCAAGATCTTTGTAGCATCGACACAGATCCCCCAAGAAGTCCTCCTGCCCACCTCCCGGTTCTGTGTTCAGCTGGTAGAGGCCAACCTGCATGATCAAAATAGCAAAGGCTTCATCCGTTTTACTCGCTGTTCTGCTCCCCGTCTCCTTTTTTATTCTTGCGAGGATCTCCTCTGTCAGTCCCAACATTTCGTCACGCGCCTCCCTCGGCCCCGCCTCCAGGGGGATGACAAGCTCCACCCCTTCTGCCTCCAGGTCTCGCCATATCTTGTGGGTCTCCCAAAGCCATGCCAGGGCTCCCGTGCCGGCACCTGCAACTTGAGATGGAAGCATGTCCCCCTTTCCCAGCTCGGCCAGGAGGCCGTGGGCCCGTGCAGCCGCCGCCCTCCGGACTTCCTCAGGCACAAAGCCCCTGACCAACTCCCAGGAGGCTACCTTAGTCTCTCCTTTATCCGACTTGCCGGCCCTCCGGCCCCCTTTCTTGACACGCTCAGATGCACCCGTTTTCTTGTCTCCCCTGCTCACCCCCTCGATGTCGAAGTACGCCAACGAAAAGAGCAGCCGCAGTACTTTCACCACCACTCCTTCTCCTCCAGGCTTTGCGACAGCCGGCATCCTGCTCAGCGCGTAAAGCGCGTCCACAGCCCAGAGCTTTTGAGACAGTATTGTGGATGCCGCATCACTTTCATCCATTTCCCCGCTCCCATCCACCCCCTCCTTACTCTTGCAATCCTCCCTCTTTGCAGGAGACAAAGCCGCTATCGACGGTGCCTCCGCGTCGTGGTAGGCCTTTACCACATGCCTTACGAATAACAAGAGTTCCGACGTACTCAAGGCTCCCACTAAATCCTGTAGAACGCTTGTACCGGTCTTCTGGTCGAAGTTCACGTCGCAGCGGGTCAGGAGGGCACAGGCGATGAGGAGGCGTTTCTCCGGCGCCGCCTCACCAGTCGCCACCAGCGCGTCCAAGGTCTGTTTTGCCAAAGGTCGTAGAATCTCGTCCGCAGTCCCTGCCGTGGACAAAGACATGAGCAAGATTTTCAGCACGTTGGGGGACAGACAGATGGGAAGCTGCGTTGCCGACGCCCGTCCGGCCACGCGCTGCAGGAGCATCAAGGCCAGGGCCTTTCGCTCGTGTGTCCCGCAGGCCAGCACCTCGTCGACCATCAGCGTCCACAGGGCTTGAAAGCTAGCACCATGGTCGTCTCCCTCCTCATCTTCGCAGCTCCCGCCGGCCCCGTCGCTACCGCCTGGGCTTGGCAGCAGCCGGTCTAGGAGGCGGTCCCAGAGCGGGTGCACCTGAGGGAAGGCGCTTGACGAGGCTTTCAGCGGCTCAATAAGCTTGTGTATTCGTTTACATTTGAGGATACGCTTGGAACTCAACAGCCAGCGCGGGAGCCTCCCTTCCAGCCCTTTCTCCTTGCGGATACCGTGTTGGCGGAGATAGTCTTGCAGGACGAGCGCCAGCCCGAGCTGGTCAGGATTAAGGGCGTCAACGTCTACTTCTTCTCGCACTCCTTCATCGCTGTGCTTGGTAGTGTCCTTTGCGCCGAGAGACTCCCCCAATTCGGTCAACAAATCCAGAGAATCGAGAAAACGCTGAGGCGGCAAGCACTCCAGCATGGCAACTATAGCCTCTGCGGCCAACGACCGTAAGACCTTGCGCTTCCTAAAAATCCCTATGGCAGTCTCTAATAATTTCATGCCTATCGGATCCCACTCTTTGATGTTGACATTCAGTCGCCCTGACCGCACCACCGCCAGGCACGTAAAGAGTCGGCCGAGGAGCATATCCCGCTCGTCTTGCCCGCGCACGGACCCCGTCACGTCGGTGGAGGTCAGCATGTGTTCATGGACCAAGGACAGTGGAACATCCGGTCTAACAGCAAGCACCTCTGCCAAGCAAGAGGCGAACCCTTGACGCGCTGCTTCAGTGGAAGATGACAAGCCCCGGACCAAGCGCTTTATGGCGTACTCAACTTCTGAAGGCAAAGGAGATGGACGCCTATTTCCTTCCTTGGGACGAAAACTCTTGGACAAAGACTCGACAAGCTCATAGCCCGCTTGGATGCGCTTGTCTGAGTCGGTCGACACCAGCTTCCAGTAGCATTCCAGCGACATCGTCTGTTGTGGGTGGATGGGAGGGGGGTGAGGAGGTCGATGGTGAGCGGAGCCCCGCGGATGCTCAGCCAAATGAGGAGTCAAGAACGACGCAACGTAGTCTATGCCTGTGAAGTCTATCGTAAATGCGAGTGGCTGTCAGAAGATGTCTTTACTACTCCACGTCAGATACGTGGTACGCGCCTCTATGCCCGCAAGATACGACCCCGCAGCGCCGGAAAGGAGCGAATAAGAAGCTCCGTGCTTGACATCGCGTTTTACGCTTTATTATGGCTTGACCCTTGCCACGCATCACCACCATGTCTTTTTGTTCAACCGCAGTAACTATATTTTACTAGGATGCCCACGTATGTTCACATCTAATGAGCAGGTTTTATATCCATTCGCGGTTATTACACTTTAGCTCCATCTCCAGAAGCAGCCCCCAGGATTTCTTCGTGAGGTTCTGCCCTCCCTACAAGAAACAATATGTCGCGATGGGGAAGAAAGGCCCGCCCGCCGCCTGGGTTTGACTACTTAGAGCCTACATTGGCAGCCTTGGAGGCCGAGCTACGAGAAAGTACGTACATAAACCTTCTTTGCAATCGACGGCATGCACATGTCATAATCTTTCTGATGCTTTTCGATCGTTATCGACCACAATCAGAGGTCAATGAGGGCCACGAAGGGAAGCGTAAAAATGAGTCTTTGTGGCCTGTTCATCAAATTAATTGGCAGCGGAGTCGATATATTTTCGACATGTTTTATCGCTATGAGAAGATCAGCCGTGAGGTGTATGAGTATTGCGTGCAGATGGTACGTAGGAATTTTATTTTTCATGCCATAGACGTGTATTATGCAAGGAAGTTTTGTCAAACTTGTTCTTCTTTGGTTGGTTTGCGAATTGTTCCTCTTGCACTGCCTTCTCCAGCTCGCGGAGTGTCTCACTCTTTTTCCCTCGGTTTCCCCTCAAATTTCCTTCCACTCCTCCCTGTTTGCCGTAGAAACTCGTCGATGCAGCTTTAGCAGCAAAATGGAAAAAACCAGGCTACGAAAAGCTCTGCTGCACTTATGCGATCAATACTAAAAATTTTAAGTTTGGGACGACGAGTATTTGTCGCGTACCGAAGCAGGTCTTGAACGAGGGCACCGTGGTGGAGGACGCGAACTGCGGCTGCCGAGGGTGCTCCTCAGGGGACCAGGGAGAGAGAAATATCTTTGGAAATAAGTATGGGCAATACCTCGCGGGCATCCAGGTGCGGCGGGAAAGGAAACAAGCCAAGGCAGCCGCCGCAGTTGCAGGGGTGTGGGCTGAGGGCGGAGGGGAGGAGGACGAGGAAGAGGAGGACGATGAAGCAGAGGAGGAGGAGGAAGAGGAGGAGGAGGGGCACGGAAAGCGAAGCGTACATGATGAAAGAACAGAGGGTGGGCCAGAGATGCACATTCATAAGAAAGTCAAAGCATAGAGTAAATAGCGACGATTGGCACTGGCGGACCGTGCACTGTAGGCAAGCTGACGAAAAGCAACCTTTTGGTCCTGAATGCATGGCCCTGCAAGCACAAGTATCCGTTCATTTCTTTGCCAAGAACACTATTTGCTCTCTCGCAAGTCTTCGCATCGACACAGAGGCCAGCCCCCCCCCTTTTCCGGCCCATCTTTGATTGACTATGTACAGCCGACCCCCTCCCCGCGCCATTTCACCGATGAGGAAGGGAGCACCGGCAGACAGGACACTCCAACTTGATGTCCATCCAGCGCTCCAGACACTCCCTGTCGAAGACGTGATTGCACGGCGCTACCATGTAGCTCCCCAAGCGCGTCACGTCCACGTCGTTGAAGCAAATGGCGCACTCCAGGGCCCCGCCCTCCTCCCCATCCGCTTCTCCCCCGTGTCCCGGTCCCTCTTCCAGGTCCATCAACTCAATCTCCTCGCAGCCACCACTGCTCCCACTGCTTTGCGTGTGCACCAACCCTCCTGCTCGCACTGTGGGTTGAGGACCTTGCGCTCTCCCCCCCCTTCCCTGGGGCACTGGGCGATAGTAGTTGTACTTGGGCGGTAGGAAGCGCGCTGGGATCATATACTGCGGGCCAAGGTAATCTTGCGAGAGGAGGACAGCGACTTGCGCCCCCACCCAGACGACCAGGGCGAAGCAGAGCCGGTAATCGGGCCTGTAGCCCGAAAAAATGAGGTGAATAAAGTTCTCCGGACAGCCGTACACGTAGAGGGGGATGGCGAGGCGCGCCAGACTCATGCCAAGCACGTAGGTCCGATTGAGAGGACGCCGGAGGCCTTTGCTGGCGTTCATGACGATCTGCGGAACCCAGAAGGAGTAAAGGACGAAGACGAGGACCTCCAAGTACTGCGCCAAGAAGTAAACGAGGAAGAGGAGGAGGAAAAGGACCGCGTAGAAACGGGCGTGGAGGGCGGCTAGCTGCCGGCGAAGGCCGTTGAAGGAGGTGGCAGCGGCGGACTGAGAATCGCGTGACTGGTGGATGATGAACATGTAGCGGATCTCGAAGATGGAGAAGATGACAAGCTTGAAGAAGGCGATGGAGGCGAAGGCGGCGAAGAGGGGCTGAAGCACAGCGCACAGAAGGAGGTGGGCGATGCAGAGGAGGGCGTCTAGGATGGCTTGCTGGCCGATACACAAGAGGGAGACCCGAGAGGCCGCTGCTTGCGTGCGCGAGAAATAGAGCTGGCGGAAGAGGAGAGCGATTTGCAGGACGCAGACAAGGGTGACGATGATGGAGTAGTTGACGGCCTTGCGATAGGCCTGAGTCCAGTCGAGGCGGATCGCCTGTGAGGACACACTCAGAGCCACGTCGCACTCGGGACTGGTCAGCGTCCCTTCGAAGCCATCCGCCAACTCAAGCCGCGCCTGGCTCTCCGCCGCGGCAGTGGAGGAGGAGGAGGAGGCGTCGCCCTGGGCCCCCGTCTGGCCCATGACCTGGCTGGCGTTCAGGCGCGGGGAGGAGCGCGCGTCCAGGGTGAACACGCAACGCCGCCCGTTGCTCGTCTGGTGCCGGAAGTATCTCTCTTTGGTCCTGTCTGGGATCAGGACTGTCTCCAGCAAGCCGCCGTCCGGAGCCGCCTTCTCCTCCATCCCCGCCAACAGCGCCCCACCTTTCAGCACCGTCAGCCCCACCACTTCCGCCCCTTCACTCTCATCAGCTCCATCCATATCCAGCTTCTTGTCGGCCTGTAACTGCATTCCGAAAAACACGTCCGCTTCCTCTGCCTCTCGCCCTGCCGCCCGATCCTCCAGGTCAGTACCTGCGCTCGCTGCAACCTCCCTCAAGACGGCATCCAGGCGCATCTCCACATCCGGGTAGCTTGCTACATCTCCCCAGACACCTGCTATCCGTCTCTCAAGGCCGGTATCGGCGTTTGCCGCCATGTGCGAGGGAGAGGCCTGATCACTCGCGTCGCCGGGATTGCCCTCTACCCCCTCTCCGCCCCCTAGACGCTGGCTCGGCTCTCCTAGGGTCCGGGTCGCGCGCCCTGCAGGTTTGTCGCTATCGCTGCCTTGGGCCCGGAAGGTCTTGGCCGAGGAGGCCGGGAGGGTGTAGGCGAAGCCCAGGGTGCCTGCCTGCTTCTGCGAGACGGTTCGGAGCAGGAGACGGCCATCACGGCGCAGGTACACGCCCTTGAGGACTGCGAACACGTCGCGCTCGGAGGAGAAGGGCCCGTCCAGGAGCTTGAAGTAGCCATGCACCAGACTCAGGTCGGTCAGGCCTGCCACGGGATTCATGAAAAGCTGCACGTCCACGCGCCCCTCTGTATGGTGCAGCCGCATGCCCCCTGGCACCTGAGCCCCCGTCTTGGTGGCTGGCCTGCGGCGAGTCTCCTCCGCAGAGCCGCCGAACCTGCCCGCCACCCCCGGCAGCCCGTCACTCCCCCCGGCCTGCATGAGGCGGAGGCGGCGCCCGGGATTGGCCTCTAAAGCCACAGGCGGTTCCACCTGCTTTGTCCAGGCCCCGCGGTAGTAGCCGGTGGTGTTTGCAGCGTAGAAACATCCTTTTCCTTGAAGCCGGACGAACTCTTTCAATCGCTGCGTCGCCCTGGCTGGAAGGACCACGCCCTCCCACGTGGCCTCCTCCCTCGCCCCCCCGCCCCCCCCCGTTTCCGAAACTCACCCACTGCCTACCCCTTCGCTGTCGGTAATCCTCTGCCTCTCCGTTGCTGTCTGCGTCCCCCACGTATGCAGGAGAGCCTGCATTGCCATTGCGATGATCGGCGAATAAAAGCAGAAAGCACATGAACAAGCCCATCTGAAACACTCTTGACCGGTGTCTCCGCGCTTGCTCCTCGTCCATGATGCCCCCCCCGCCCGGCGCTTGTCTAGCAAGCCAACTGTCGTTCGTTGGGAGAGCGTGCGTGTGAATGGTATGCGGAAGCAACGTGCTATGTAACGCACAGGAGGGATCGGGAGTTATCTTTACTTGACGTCAAGATGCCCTGCCTCGAATCTCTAACACACAAGTTGTAAGCCAACACGCTGAAAAATAAAGGCAGAGCTCTTTTATTTGACATGTTGAGAACTGTGATGGTTTCGGAGGGGCAAAGACGGGACATGCAATGTAAAAAATCGAGTGTCAAGAAGGCGGTCTACCTTCGTGTCCTTGCTCGAACCCTCTGGGCGAGGGGAGGAGACGGTGTGTCTTCACGCTCTGGCGTCAGCATGCTGCTGCTGATTCCTATGCTCCACTAAGCTGATGCTTTCGTTCCTCCCAGATGCATCGGCGCAAGACCCGTGCGTGAGTACGGGTGAGACGAGATTTGCCCGAAAGACGCCTGGAGGGGAACATTATGATAGAAATGTCATCCATAAGGGTGTGGACTGTATCTGCAGGGTAATGCGACAGCAGTGCTTGAACTCAGGCGCACACAAAACCTTAGTCCCCGTGATCATGGCAACCCCGGCAGCAGCGGTCTCATGCTGTGAACTAGCGTGAGATAAATATCACCGGCGACCGGGGGGGAAAGGGCTCGCTGCTTGCTCCGCGTCTCCACCTCGACCCGCCCCTTGATTGCATTCATGGTGCACCCACACGCGTGAAGCTCTCATCATGCTTCTACAATACCTTTCCATGTGATTTTACAGGCATCAGTGCTTCTTCCAGGTCGTTTTCACCATTGGATCTCGGCCTTTGAGTCGTGCTCAAGCTGCTAGGAACGTTGCAGTGAATCGCCTGCTCTTCCACTGTTGCTTACGAAAAGCACGACCGAAAGACGTGTGAAAAGGCCGCCCTGAAGAACGCATACCTGATTTCTCTATCATGAGGGGCACCTACATGGATCCCGAGACCAACATCCGATACGACACGAATAATGCGGATTTCGAAGGTACGTAGACACGCCGGCCGAGGGGCCTGACCCCCTGTTGATCTCTTATGAGTACGCTACAATTTCGCCCTTCACACTGCAAACAGGATGGTTGACCAAGCAAAGCAGCTGGCTAAAGGAATGGAGAAGACGTTACTTCATTTTGAAAGGCAGCAAGCTATTTTTTGCCAAGGTAGGGGAGTGAGAGTATTGGGCGTCCGGGTGCTCACGGGGCCCCGTGGCGGAAATGTTGAGTTTCGACTCTGGAAAGGGGCCATCGCAATGTTGCCCCCGTCATTAGAAGGCGCTACAGCGCTACATCCCGAGGGGCGCGTGGCATAAGGCATGCGCCATGTCTGCATGATGACGGTCTGCATGCTTCCTTTGCCCCGTGTTCGATCCTGCCTTCATCGACTCAGACCGTGTCCATCCATTGCATTTCCCGCTTTGGCGCCCCCCCTATTCTTAGAATGAAATGTGCTCCCCGCACGGCATGATAGACCTGTCGTCGTGCATGACAGTCAAGTCGGCGGAGCTTAAGGCTCAGAAGCGGAATGCTCTGGAGGTCTCCACGCCCGAGACGACCTTTTTGATGTACGCGGACACGGAGAAAGAGAAGGACGACTGGATCGGGGCGGTGGGTCGGGCAATCGTGCGAAGCTCCACCACCTACACGCAGGAGGTGGGGGAGGCGGGGGACGAGGATGACGACGGGAGTGACTACGAGGATTAAGGTGAAGTCTTGTACAGGCGAGAGGGGGGGCTTGCGCCACGGTAGAGCGAAGTGAAAGAAACAAAAGGCGGTTGCCACGTTTGCGACTTGTTTCTTTGCGTGCGTGAGTCCAGGCTCCTCAGGTCGTGAGTGCCGCCTCGAGCATGAACCGCGAGGACCGAGGATCGACTGTCGCCACCTCCACCGGCACCGCCTTGCCCATGGTGGAGGTGAGAAAGACACCCTTGAAATACTTCCCCTTGGCCCCCTCCGGCTTTGCGTTGCCTAGCGCCACCATCAATACCCGGATGTTCTCCAAGAGGGCCTCTGGCTCGAACGAGACCTTGCCCACCCCCACGTGCACCATCCCGAATCGATCCGCCTTGAACTGGGCCTGCCCCGCCATGGCCGACTTGACAGCCGCGCCCACGTCCTTGGTGACGGTGCCCATCTTTGGGTTGGGCATGAGGCCGCGCGGGCCCAGGACCCGCGCCACCCGACTCACCAGCGGCATCACCTCGGGCGTCGCCACGCACCGGTCGAACGCCAGCTCTCCGTCTTGGATGGCCTTCACTAAATCCTCCGCGCCCACCACAGCGGCGCCCGCGGCCTTGGCGGCTTCTGCGTCCTGTTGTGTGCATGAGCGTGAGCGAATGCGTCCATGGAGGTACCCAAGAAACTTCTCGGCATCCTCCTCCTCCCTTGCAGCATTCCCATTCTCCTCCTGTACGTACGTCTCCGCGGGCGAACACAGCCACCCGAACAGATTTACCAGTGCCATTGGGCAATGTTTGTACGCCTCGCACGCTTTGATTGGGCTTTCGAGGATCTACTCCCAACTGAATGGCAAGATCGACAGTCTCGGTAAAATTTCTCCGTTTTTCCTCCTTTGCATACTGAAGCACTGCTGCCAAAGCATCTCTTATTGGCAACGCCTCTGTGACCTGTGTGCCCGCCATGCATAATTCTTTTTATTAGCTACAATACGGTCGTAAAAGTTTACGCGCTCACAGTTAAGGTATGTCGGCGAGATGGACGAGAGCAAAGACATCAACGTAAAGAAGAAGGGGGAAGAAAGGTGCGGGACGCGCTTGTATGCGTGTATTACCCTGGACGACGAAGGAGCAGAAGGTGAGGATTGCAACAGTGAATGGGAGGAGGTGACCGGACTCGAGCTTCGCTGGCTTGCCCGGGCAGAATTTAGGGACGCGACTGCCTTGCCAACAGTAGTGGACGGCGGCCTTCGTTTTCGGACAGTCTCGGCTGTGAAGCCCCTGAGGGAGCCCAAAAGAGCTGTCGAAACTCTATATTCCTGATGACGAATTCTCCGAAGCATCGGGTTTGACTCTAAGCTGTGTGCAGTGAGTGCGGATTAAATGATAAATCCATTGAGCTGCGTTATTATCCGAGGGCAAGACGCGCCTCCAAACCGGGATGCGACAACATGCTACCGGCAAAATGACGTTCATCGCGCGAACCAGAAGATGCACAAAAAATGGTCGTTGGATCCCTCCCATCTCCCCATGCTTTGCACTGAAGAGGTAGGGATGGTGGTCGACATGGGCAGGGCGATGGCAAGGAATGGAGCAACCGGGGGGTGTCTCGCTGAGCAACGAGGGGAGAGGAGGTTATCAGCCAGGCGAAAAAGACAACATCTCATAGCTGCCGGGCTATTTATGGCGGATTCTTCAAAGAAGTGTATTAAATACTGTAAATTATCAGGTCTGCTCCCAATACTCATTGCGAGATCGAGCACAGAAAGCGACAGGTAGGGCTGCTTAAAGTGACTGCGAGCTGTCTTGGACTAACAGAAAGGGTTTGGCAGACTATTCTCTCGAATTCCTTTAAGAAGGCCGACGGCACACTAAAGAAATATATATATCCAATATATATATTATAAATATACATATATGTATTTTGGTTATAAAATTTCGCAACATTCATTGCTTGTTATCCCTGAGGTGCCACAAGCCCCACTTTATTCGTCATATCCTAAGAACGCTGCTATTTGTGCTTTAATAAGCGCATTATTTTTTAAAAAATAGTTGTGATCAATCTGGTACCCCTATGGCGGAAATCATGGAGATAATATTCCATCCACTAACGCTCTTGGTCAGTGATTTTAATGTTCAAAAAATTAAACAAAAAACTTTTGTGGTAGCGCCACTACTCATCCAGGTATTGGGTAGAACAGGAAAACCTAGTGGGAAACGGATGAGCTCATTCGATCATCGATCCCATGGGCTTCATCGATCCCATGGGCTTAAAAACTAAGACCAGGAAAACTTTGGACCGCACTTCCAGTTAAAACTAAGCAGCGGTAGTTGTATCATCGGAGGTGTGCTTTCAGTCGCTACGTTTTTGTATGGAACCAGGAGCGCGTTGTTGATTTGACGACTGTATTAAGAGTGTGTGATGTACCGTTTATACTCGCCCGAGCATCTTGGAGGGCCCCTCTTTTGGCCAACATGTGAAGAAATCATGCTCTGGTCGCACTGTGCCAACTCTACGCCCGCAAAGTATTGCTTTGTTCTTTGAATGAAAGTATTTCAAAACACCCTGTATTTGAACCTGAAAAAAACTTCGCTTTCAACCGTATCTTATCGGTAATCTCTACGTCATTTCGGGCTAAATAACTTTGTAGACCATTTTGCAAAGAATATTGGCTGTCGGAGGTGGAGTGAGTCATTGTCATGCAACGTCGAAGCTCGCCTAGCTAGGTTGCGAGCTGCGGCTACTTTCTTTACCCTGGTAAATCCATATTTTTGTTAGTGGACCTGGCGGTCTAAGAACGTCGCCCACGATCTAGTGATGGAAGAGTCGAACATTTGTGAAGGCCATCGCCATACCGTAGTTGTTGCAGCACTCAGTAACCTGCGTATCTTGGACTGAGCCTCCTGGCTGGACAACGTACGTCACCCCATACTTGGAGGCGTGGTCGATGGAGTCCCGAAACGGGAAAAATGCGTCCGAGGACAAGCTCACCCCTTTCAGCGTTCCCATGAAAGCCGCCTTCTCATCTTCTGTGAGGGGCGACGGCACGTCCTCGAAGTTTGCCTCCCAGAGTGGACGCTCCGCCGCGGTGATGTCGCCTTCGATGTAGCGCACGCGGGCATTGACGCGGTCCTGACGCTTCACAGTGGGCTTAAAGGCCAGGGAGCGCACCTTCGGGTGCTGTCGCAGCCACCAGATTTCCACCTTTCGCCCCGCTAGTTTCACACAGTCCACTCGACTTTGCTGACCTGCCCCCACGCCGATTACCTGCCCATTCAAGGCGTAGCCAACCGAATTGGATTGAGTGTACTTGATGGCGATGGAGGCAATGATCAGATCCCGCACCGCCTCCTCAGGAAGCTGAGCGGTTGTCACCACTTTGCTCAGATCCGATGGGGAGAGGAAGGCGTCGTTGCGGCGCTGCTTGAAGGCTGCACCGTAGACCTCCCGATACTCCACAGGGGGAGGCGTGAAATCTGCTGTGGCCTGCAGGACAATGAACTTCCCCTGCTTCTTGGAGGCCAGGATCTGCAACGCCGCGGGCTCGTAGCCCGGGGCAATGATTCCGTCACTCACCTCCCTCTGTAGGACCTTCGCTGTCGCCTCGTCTACCACGTCGCTCACGGCCACAAAGTCCCCGAAAGAGCACATGGGATCCGCACCGCGCGCGCGAATGTAGGCGAGGGCAACGGGAGTCAAGGCCCCCGGTTCTCCGACCTCGTAGGCCTGGGCCTCCTCCGCGGTCAGTGGCACGGCCACCCCGGCCCCCGCGGGCGACACGTGCTTGAACGAGGCTGCTGCCGCCAAGCCCAGAGCCGCGCGAAGCTCCCGCACGAGCTGGTAAGCGTTGAGTGCGTCTAGCAGGTTGATGTAGCCGGGCGTGCCGTTCAGGACCTGGAAAGGCATGGGGGTGCCGAGGATGGAGAGGATGCCCGCGGGCGCCTGATGGGGGTTGCAGCCATACTTGAGGGGGAATTGCGGCGTGTAGACGCGCGTCACGACAGGCGCGGCCTCACCGAGCTGGCCATTGATCCATCCGGCGATAGCCGAGTCGTAGGCCGCCGAGGTGGCAAAGGCGCGCGCGGCGAAGCGCTTTCGCAGGGCCAAGGATGTGCTTCCGCCATGAGCCTTCATCTCGGCCATGAGTTCACCGTACTGAGAGGGCGAGGTGGCAATAACGACGTACTTGTGGTTCTTGGCCGAGGAGCGCAGCATGGACGGCCCGCCAATGTCAATGTTCTCGATGCATGTGGCGAAGTCCCCGCCCTTCTGTACAGTGTGCTCGAAGGCGTACAGGTTCAGCACCACAACGTCGATGTTCGAGATTCCGTTCTCCGCCATTTGTGACTCATGCGTGGGGTTTCCTCGCACCCCCAACAGACCGCCATGGACCTTGGGGTGGAGTGTCTTGACGCGCCCGTCCAAGATCTCGGGGGCGCCGGTGTACTCCGACACGTCCTTGACCGGCAGTCCCGCCTCTCGTATCACTTTGGCAGTCCCCCCCGTGGACAAAAGCTCCACGCCCTGCTCCACCAGAAACGTGGCGAGCTCTAGCAAGCCCGTCTTGTCCGAGACCGAAAGGAGAGCACGCTTTACCTTCCAGAGGTCCGCTTGAGTGCCTTCGACGGCAGTGATCTGAGGGCGAGTATGAGAAAGTAAATAGTGAGCGAGAAAACAAGCTGTAATTGTTATGGAGTATCGCAAGGGTTTGTATCGAAACCCATGGCTGGACGAATGGGACTTAGGGCGCAAATGAATAGAAAAGGCATGTGAAGATTCGGCAGTCGCGCACGCTGTACCAAGAACGCCAACACGAAGGAGAAGATATTCAAGAAGAGAACTCGAAAATATATGAGCTGCAAAAGGAATACTCTTATGGCAAAGAAAGAAAAAGATGTTGTTCATACGTATCCAAAAGCTCCTTGTCGGGACAGTATTGTGATAGGGCGGGGTTTATATCAGGCATTTCTGCGCCACGTAGAAAGAAATAAAGGAACAAAAGACCATAAGAAGACACTACCCTTGTCCATAAAAACGTACCACATGTGCCATGTGCTTTCCTGGCAATACAAATGTTCCTTGATGATGGGACAGCAAAGAGACGGCCTGGAACGCTGCCGGGCCACTCAAAACAATGAGAGGAAGCAGGAGAAACGCGGAGAAGTACACAACGACCGACACGCACACTTGATGAATTTTGAACTGTGTGCTTTTTGAAAGTGTGAAAATGGTAGGCTTGATCGTCGTGTCCGTCGACATGCTTACGAGATTTCTTGGAATAATGCCGCAAGGGAGCTTCAACACTTCAAGCATGAGGAGAAGCACTCACACCGTCATACCGCATTTATTCACACAACTCGGAACTTGGAAAATCTAACTTTCCTGACCGTATACGGACTGCTATTCCGACTTGTAATTCAGCCAACCCGCGTCTCGAGAGCCCGTCAATCCTTGCACACGCCGGCGGGTCACAGCGGACGAGACGGTCTCGCGGGCTCGTGGGAGGCCCCGTGCGGTTCACAGTCTGCGGAGTAAAACGCCACCCCAGCCCGGGCTATTGCCTCGAAACAAACCACGTACCCAAGTGCGTGACGAAGCGCAATGCCAAAGTCACGCTTCCCTCCTTTTCAAACACTGTGAATCTTTGCGTGTTATTGATTCAGGCATTGCTGGGCCTGGTGATTTGCACGATTGCGGCGGTCTGCGTCGGCCGGCAAGCAAGCCTTGGGCCACGCACGCGCGAGGAGAGCGCAACACAATTCTACGCCTGCCTACGAGCGACCACAGCTCAGTGACCGGGCTTTCAAAACACACCGCCGCACTTGCTATTTCTTCGGTATACCCACAACGAGCAACCTGTCACACTCTCCTCTACAGACACAGCTTTGTTGGACATAGCACCGATTTATTTCGACTGAGGTGGCCTGTGAAAGTGAGAGCACTGACTCGTATTCCGCGCATTCTTGCCTCGCACCGCCGGCTTCCTTGTAACATACTGCTCGTGGCCATACACCGGCAGTCAACTAAGTAGAAGTATGGTCACACGACAACTATTATGCACCAGAAGCACAAAAAGCGGCCAAGGGCGCGACGAGAGGAAATACAAGGCGGGCGATCGCATGTCAAGCACTGGCCACGTCTTGACCTGGGGCTCCTGCTTCTTGTTAACAGGAAGCTTGCTGCTCGCCACGACTGCGGAGGCCTTCTTCTTCCGCTCGTCGTGTTCGAGGACTCCCTCTCTATCAGCTTTTTCGAAAGGGGGGCGCGGCCGGACGGCGGCATCCCCTATCGTCCTCCCCACCCTACCCGTGTCCAGGGTTAATGCAGGACTGACGGTGCGTCAGAGCACGGGGTCCTCAAGCACCAGCAGCGGCAATACCATGAAGAGCAGCAATCCCAACAGTAACAGCATGGAGGGCCAGAAGTCCACGCGCTTGGACGCGGCTGCCACCATGGACCCTCCTACGACAGGTTCGGGACTCCGGCGCCGCATTCGGCCCGAGATCCAGCTACCCGCGCCGCACGTGAACGACAAGCCGGATGTCAAGCTCGGCGTATTACTTTTGCAACTAGGAGGTCCGGAGCGAATGGAGGACGTGGAGGGCTTCCTGTATAACTTGTTCGCGGACCCGGACATCATTCGCCTTCCCGGCCTGATCAGTGGCCTGCAGAAGCCCTTGGCATACGTCATCTCCAAACGCCGCGCCCCAAAGTCCAAGGCGGCCTACGAGTCTATCGGCGGCGGTTCTCCCATCGTGCGTTACACGCAAGCACAGGCGGAAGGCGTGGAGCGCGTCCTCCAGGAGATGGGGCTCGACGCGAAGTGCTACGTGGCCATGCGGTACTGGCACCCCTTCACGGACGAGGCGATGGAACAAATGATTAAGGATGGCGTTAATAGCCTAGTGATTGTGCCGCTCTATCCGCAATTTTCCATCTCCACGAGTGGGAGCTCGTTGCGGGTGTTGCAGGACTTGTTTTTCAAGGACTCCCCGCGCTGGAACCAAGTCAGCCACACGGTGGTGCCAGCCTGGTACGACCGTCCGGGCTATGTACAGGCCATGGGCCGCCTTATTTCCAAGGAACTTGCGCAGTTCACCCAGGAGCAGCGGGCAGAGGGCGGTCTGCACGTGCTCTTCTCGGCCCACGGGGTCCCTCAGCGGTACATTGAGATGGGGGACCCGTACCAGCAGCAGATTCAACAGTGCGTGGATTTGATCGCGCAAGAGTACGCGGCGCCGGATGTGACGACGCACCTCTCGTACCAGAGTCGAGTTGGCCCTATCGAGTGGCTGAGGCCCTACACGGACGACACGCTAGAGGAGCTGGGGGCGGCGGGGGTGAAGAACCTGGTGGTGGTGCCGATCAGCTTCGTCTCGGAGCATATCGAGACGCTGGAGGAGATCGACATCGAGTACCGGGAGTTAGCGCACGAGAATGGGATCACAAACTGGCGGCGCGTGCCGGCGTTGAACACGGAGCCTGGCTTCATCGAGGACTTGGCGCACATGGTGGTCGAGGCCCTTCAGGAGCCCGCCATCTCGGTGACAGAGGCCTGCGCTCTGAACAACCTGGACATCATGCCCATGGGTGGAGACAAGGACGGGGGCGAGGATGGCAAGGGCTTGGATGGGAGACTAGCGGTCCTGGGTCTGGCGTCGGGGGTGGTGCTGGACTTGTTCAGTGGCCGGGGTGGTCTCGCCCATCTACTGCACTGAACGAAATGACGCAGTCATATCTTTTCTTGGCGAGTGCGTTAAGGGAGTTCGCACTATGATTATGCCAGACATGTGTCTTTCATTTCAAACAGTTTCTCTCTGTGATGTAAAGCAGGCGAGATTTCTTCGTCAGACGTGCAGGAAAGCAGATGGGCAAAGAAGAAGGAGACATGAAGAAGGATGATGCCTCTATGGAAAGGATGTCGGAAACTCTACGATTCTCAGCCTTTGAAGTGCATAAGGCTTCCGGTTGATGTACATAGTATATTAAAGAGGGTTGACGTACCATGGGAATTTAGTGATGAGGAAGGAGAGAGGCGACTAGTCAAGACCGGAGGGTAGCAGTTGAGGCCGTGGAAGCGACCTTTGAAGTTTAAAGTGTGTAGAGAAAGGATAGAGTGACTCATTCAAAGACCCGGACGAGAAAGAGCGGAGGTAAAAGGTGCCTACACACCTCAGACTGCCGGAAGGTGTGCGAGTGAGCGGGTGCCAGCGAACATTCCTGCCTCGCAGCGTTGCGTCAAATCTGCGCTTCGAGGGTCTGTACCGCTAGCAACGATGGTGATGAACATATCAATGTAAGATACTCAGGGCTCAGACACTAGTTACAACGTCTTGGCCTTTGGGCAAGAGCTGGCTCGACGGCAGTTTTTGGTCCTATAGCTTGTCATTTTCACTATCGTTGAATTATCACACGAGGAGGACTTCAAATGGCAAGCAAAACAGGAAACTTCATTGGAAAGCAAATTTATTCAGATTTACGACGCGGTTGTCTCTGACCATCCAATGACGAGGGTAAGCGCGTGAGGAAAAAGGAATATCCAGGAAGAGCAGGGAGCGGTGCTGAGGCGAAGCGACTGTGCAAGCAGCGTAGATACTAAGGCATAGGTCTCCCGTGTCGTCTCTCGGAAAGTTAAAGAATCGAAACAAAATTGAGCATTGATTTTGAGGTACCGTGTTGTCCGTTTGCCGGTCGATTATAGCTTTATCACCCACTCCTTCATATCAATCCAGTACTTTACGTTATTTTCGCCGTCAAGATTTCTCAGTGTAACCTTTCATATCCTTTTGAATTTCCCCAAGTCCCCTACTTCCAAATGCATGAAACTGTCGCGGTCTCACTGCCCGCTCCTCATAAACATGATCCTCAGTATCTCAGTAGATTCCGGGCAGAAAGAGCCACTTAACCTCTTTTTTGTATTTTTGCCAGTCTGCGCCATATTTCAGGGAACACAAATGATCGTCGCGGGCCGCTCGATGCACAAGCAGAATCCCAAAGTAAATGGCATAGAAATAGGGTAGCACGTGCGTCGGTCCACAAAGCCCGCACCATGCCAAGGCCATCAGCCAGTCCCCCGTGTAGTTGATCTTGCGCGCCCATCCCCACCAGCCCGAAACCATGAGCTTGGTCCCTCGGATTGTGTCCATATAACGGACATGCGGAACGCTTGTGGGGTCGCGGCGGAAAGCGTCCTTGGTCGAGTTCGCCTGCCGGAAGATCCAGTAGCCCACCAGGTGCATGGCCGAGAGGCCCGCCAACGCGTAGGTGGAGAGGGAGACAGGGCGGCCGACCAGGTAGCGCGCTTGCAAAGAGTAGGTGAACGGCACCCAGGCAAGGTCGCCGAAGGCCAGCATGAAGCCGAAGCCGTCCGTGGTGATGTCCATGGTGGTTAGAATGGCACGCTCGTTCAGGAGGGCGTCTAGGACGTACCACCCCTGGAAGACGTTCACCAGCACCAGGGGCCAGCTGGGAGGCTCCCCCGTGACGGCCTGAAGCTGCTGCTGTTTCATCAGCATTCCCATATTCAATGCCACCCATCCAATGAGCCCAGGGCGCAGCTCACAGAAATACTTCCAGTCAAAGCTGCCCAGACGAGGGTTCAGTTCGCGGCCCATGTAGAAATCGTACATGACATTCCCGCTCCGTCCCCCGTCGGCTAGCCGAGCACCCTTTCGAAAAGAGGCTAGGTAGAGGAGCAGGGACAGGCCGAAAGAAAAGACCACGGCCGCGAAGGCGAACTGAGGGAAGTGGTCGTAGAGCTTTTCAAGAGGAAAGGGACCGAAACCAGTTAGTTCACCGAGCACGGGGATAGCGCCGTTAGCGGCCTGTCCGGCGTGCTGCAACACTGCGTCTCCTGCGGCCGAGGCCGTGTACACAAATTGCTCATCCCCTTCATCTCCAACGATTGTGGGCAGGATTCCCTCGTCCTCCACTGGCACCGCGAACCGCGGACAGCCGTGAACTAGCAGCAAAAGAGAGATCCAGAACGCCAAGTGCCCGTTCAACTTGTACGGAAGACGCAGCCCTTCTGCTCCTAACAGGGGCACACCCAAAGCTACCTCACCGGGGAGCAAGCGCTCCAAAACGACCTGAAAGCAGAACCAGGCGACTATGCAGGCAAAGGCCAGGGGGTCCCAGAGCTCGTTTTGTACGAGGGCTACGAGCGCCGAACCCCGGGCCTTGAGGGCGCCGGGGATGTGTTGAATGATTGCCATGAAGGCACTTGCCGTGTTGTGCGGTGAGCGCCTGGCTTGCAAAGCGAAGGTGGAGAAGGTGCTCGGCAGCGCTCGGAGGAGGGCAGGCAGCGTTGAGGTCAGAAAATGGGCCATGTCAGTCCAACGCAGGCATGCCAGGGGAGAAGTGGAGGATCTGAAGGAGAGAGGGTACTTCGACGACGATGATGACGGGGACGCCGAAGACATAAAGTTTGGACAAAAATAGTACAGCCCCATCACGACTACAGGCAGGCCGACCACGATCCCCAGGGCACCCCAAGGCCCGCCAAACTCGTACTTAAAAGACGAGGCCACAGCTTCCGGTGGATGAGAAGGTGCTGAGGCTGATAGTGCTTTCGACATCGGTTTTTTCCTCGTGGCTTTCGGGCGAGTGGGCGCATTATCCTCCTCTGATAGGGGTGAGTCAATAGAACGTGATTTTGGCGCCTTTTTTCGAGGAGGGCTTCCAAGAATCTTGGAGGTTGGGGTCAACGGGATGTTATCCGTGCCACTAGACGTCACAGCAGCCACAGTACGCCGCCTAACAGTTCTAATTTCAGGAGCTGTCGCAGCATTTTCCTTTTTGCTCCCAGGCGAGCGCCTTCTCCTAGTGCTTACCATGGTTGCGAAGTCGCTTCACTTCGTAGCGCGCGAGACGGCTATGGTAAGTATGAATGTGAAAGTGTGCATGAGGAAAAAATAGTGTAAGTCCCGGTGACCCACATTTTGAGCCGCCACTTTAATGCCTCGTGACAGCTTCCCAGCACAAGGTGGAGGCAGCATTCATCCGTCTGCGTCTAAACCACGATTGCGGCGTGCAGGGCGCGAACATTTGTCTCCCTCGTCGGCGAGGCGGCGATGGTCTCGAAGAGGACGTTCAGAGGTAGCCCCTGCCGGTGCACAACTAGCGCGACCGGGGAATGTCGCGCTCACGTAGGCCGAGTGGAGGCCTGGCGTCGAGTGCAGGGCGTCCGAATGCCGAGTACGCTTAAATCAATCTCAAATCAATTTGGGGGCGTGTAAGATCCACAAGAGGATCCTGGTGTATTCATAAAGGTAAAAGCAGAGTGAGGGAGAGCCCCTGCCGGTCCACAACTAGCGAGACGAGACCGGCAGGCCCGTCCCTTTAAGCCGTAGCTACGAGAACCTGGGGCAACCGCGAACAAAAAGCAGACCATTGCTGCTTTTTTCTTGTGTTGGAGTTAGAGCTGATGTGGTATGCTTGTCGCATTTTGTCTTGAGCGGCTGAGGTACATATGCGTGCTCAGCTTTTTTGATGACGCAACGCCGCTCTCCAAGCACAGTGCTCATGTACGCGCTGGAATGCTCTCACCAATGTCCTCTTCAAACGCATTTAGCAAGCTTACGAAGGAACACACAAAATTACAGCTTTTTCAATCATGCTCGGTGTTGTTCGGGGAATCGCGGCCCGCGTCAAGCCTGCCAAGAACCAGGCGCAGCTCATTTCCAGGTAGAAGATGCTTTTGTCAAAGATTATGGAATGGGCCTGATTTCTGGAGGAGGACGCATGATCTGCATATCTAAAGAGAAGATGAAGATGGGATGTTGTGTTGTATACATTTGCGAGATGATCGATGTGTACACTTGCGAGATGATCGAAGTGGCTCGCCTGGGATGAGCTTTGCACTACTTGTCAGCTGGTGACCTTTCTCTGTTCCCTCAACAGGCGCATGATGGGAGGCGACGGTGGTCACCATCCCCACTACGTTTTTGAACCCCCTTTCAACAAAACGTTTGTGGCCGTGCTCGTGGGCGGCGGTGTCACTCTCGGTACTGGCCTCGTTGTGTAAGTGAAGGCAAAACGCACCAGACATGACCGATGAAGGGCGAGAGCCGGAACTTCAAAACACTAACCCTCTTCCACATGGACATGACGGGGCCAACATATGTCAAAACAGGGCTTCATGGAAATTTCAGAACAAGAAACAGGTGCGTGCGATGCAATATAGTGGCTCTTGTCCGTTCTCTTCGTGTCTCCGTGCGTTTTATCGCGAGATATTCACAGCTCTTGTGTTCCCGTCTTTTTTTCCGGCAGGGTTTCACCAAGTGATCCATCGCTGCCATGCCTGAGAAGGTACACGCACAGCTCTGGGCGCGTCTCGTTGATCGGGGGCCATCGCCTTTTTTGTCCTTTATCGTCGGAGGGAACGGGTTGGAGGATCTCGAAGGGAGCCATAGCTTTTAGAGCGCGATCGGCTGGACTGGCCCGCTCGTCGGGATGAAGAAAGCCGGTGCACTCTTTGTAAAGAAAGAAAAGGCGCCCAGGTGACGGACAACACTGTAGCGGCTCGTCTTTGCTTTATGGATGTTCTATTTGATTCGCGCGTGGAAGCTTGTCCAATCCCTCGCCGTGGACGGCTGCCAAAAAAACAAGGCAAACAACTACATCGTTTTTGAAAGCAAAAACATGTAGAGATTGTGAAAAGATGTTTCATAATGATTTATTTTTAAATGTCTAGCGCGTCGGCTACGACATTGGCCCTTCATTGCCCCCCCACTCCCGCCGCGATGGCCTGTCGGCGTGCTTCTTCCTCCCGCTGCTGCTGCTTCTTGCTCCACAACTCCAGCTTGCGCCTCTGGTCCTCTTCCGCCTCCTTCAAGTAATCCTGGTACCGCTGCCAGAGCTTGCCCTTCTTGACCGGCCCGGGCGGGGGGGGGGAGTCTGGTGGGGCTGGTCGGGCACCGCCGCTGCCGCCGCCACGGTGGAGTTTGGCTGTGCGCTTTCCCCCATCGGCTCCCCCACAATGTCCTTGGCCGAGAGGCGGGTGGGCGCCGCGGGCGAGCGGGCAGCGTTCCCGGGCAAGCCGTGGCCCATGCTCTGAAAGGCCCTCCCCGACCGCAAGAGTCCGCCCAGACCCCTCTGCTGCTTCTCTATCTCCCGGACTTGGGCCCGTCGCAGCATACTGGCGTAGGCGTCCCCGATCTGCTCCGCGTCCAGGCCTTGGAACTGGCGGAGAACGGCGGGGATGTCGTCGGCGACGCCCTCCATGACCAGGGCTAGCAGGAAGCCCCGGAGCTTCTCGAGCGAGCGATCCGCCTTGTCCTTGGCATTGCGGAAAGGCTTAATGCGGATCCCATTCTCGGGCTGGAACTGGAAGGCCTCGGGGTCGTCGTCCACAATCACCACCTTGCGCAGGTCCCGGTTCAACTTACTCAGGTCCTTGACGTGCTTGCCCTGGTGAAAGCGCGTCGAGTCCTTGTAGAGCCGGTGCATGATCAGGCCCTGTTTATCCAGGGTCCAGGTGATGGGGTCGACCACCCCGAAGTTGCTGGGCGAGAAGAGCACGATCTCGTAGTACTTGCTCAGGTCCTGCAGGAGGCGGTCCACGCCAGGACGTTTGGCATACCTCCAGCCGTACTTCGGGTCCCAGGTCGCGTGAACCAGGGTATCCTCTAGGTCGAGTACGAGCGTCGGGGGGCAGGGCGCGTCCGGTGGGATGTTGGGAATACTGTGCCAGTCGGGCAGGAGCTTTTCGCGGGAGGGATTGACGAAGGGTGAGAAGACTGCGTCGTAAAGCCACGCGTAAGGGCGACCCAGGGGGGAGGCGCGGAGGACGTCGTCGGTACTTTTGTCGCCAGCCGAAGTTTCGTAAACCACGTATGCAACACCTGCCGCTCCACCGGTAGCCAGGAGTTTGATCGCGGCGGAGGCTGCATGGCTGGGAGCGGCGCCCGAGGAGGCAGGGCCAGCAGCCATCGCCGCGGAATCACCCTCCGAGCTGCCTGCCTGCTCCAACAACGATATGCGTGTATTTTTGAAAGCAAAAATAAATCAATCATGAAGGAAAGTTGCACCCGCAAACATGCGCTTGCAATGTGCTCCGCCAATTCCATGCCCTGCCAATCGTGTGACCCTCGACACTTCGTAAGCCTACCTTTGATCCTACAGCGGACGCCTCTTGAGCCGCCGCTTTCTCTTTCAACCACTTTTGACGCCTTGCTTCCCTCGAAGTAATCGCAATGCCAGTGGCGTTCGCATTTGATGCGCCCGTCCCTCCAGCTTGCCCTTCTGCAGCACAAAACGATCGTTGTGGTGGAAAGCGCGATCTGAAAAAATGTCTCTTACACACACGCCGGCATAGAGACGCAGAGGCCGATATCGCACAGCTGGCCATGAAATTCACGTGCACCGTGTGTGGTTGATTCAATGCGACCTGTTGAGTGGAATGGGCAGCATTAAACAAGAGTATCCCGGCGGAGGTGCTCGTCGCCAAAAGGCGGCCACAAGCCACGGGAGGGAGGGAGGAGGTCGGGGAAGTATAGAGTTCACTCTTGCGTCATTCCTGCTCGCCTACTCGCACAGGGACATTGTGATGACGGGGAGGGATGATTATCAAAGTGGAAGTGGAGGCTGTGGTGAAATACTGCGCAGTGGCTTTGGGAAAAACGGAGGAAATTGCGAGCAAAACGTAGCACATCGACCCGTCCCCCCACCGACCTCAACGTCGTTAGCCACTCCGGAGGAGATGCACAAGGAGCAACAACATTTGTTAGAGGTGGTTACTGCCTTCTTGGAGTATAGCAAATTTGCTGGAATGGAGTTGGAGCGGCGATGGGTCCATTTAGGCCGTCTTCCGGAGCACTACGCTAAATTGCTTCCTCCTCACTCGTTGGCACCCGCCCTGCGGGAGCACCGCAAGGCCATTGTTGACAACCAAGCCTTTTTAAATGCGGTGGTAAGAGGTGTCCATGAAATTGCACCTGCTGAGGGCATACTGGACCAAGCTCAAAAACAGCTAGCGCGACAAGCAACGTTAGCTCCAAGACAAATTCTAACAAGCCCAGCGAATATGACCAAAATTTATGCCACCCTCCACAGTTGCATGCGAGAATGGTCCGAGGAGGGGGCCGGTGAGCGTGCTGCATGTTTTGATGTTATTCTGGACGCTTTAGTTGAGTTTTTGCCCGTGGATGACTCGAATCGAGGTCGGCAGAGAGTACTGGTGCCGGGCGCGGGCCTTGGGCGCTTACCATTAGAAGTTGTCGGCCGCGGTTACGCCTGCCAAGGAAATGAATTTTCCTATTTCATGCTTTTGACCTCGAACTTTCTCTTGAACCACGGAGAAAGTGCGAAAAGTCTCCGCCTGTTCCCGTTCGCGGAGCAGAGTTGCAACCTCGTCAGGCTCGGCGACAACGTGAGGCCGGTGCTGGTTCCAGATGTGTCTCCCGCTGAGATGTTGCGAGAGCGTGAGGTGGAAGAGGGGCCCACCGAAGAGGAAAGATCGGCCAATGCGAAGGCAAGAGACGGAAGGAAACGAGAGGCACCACGCGGGAGGGGGCCTGAGATGAAGCTGGAAGTGGGGGGGGAGAAGGGGGAGGACCGGGACGAGGAAGACGGGTATGGAGAGCAGGAATGCCATGATGCGGCCCATCTTCCTCGGAAATGTCTTACACCAGACTTCAGCATGACGGCGGGGGAGTTCCTGGAGGTCTACGGGGAGCAACGAGGCTGCTGGGACGCCCTGGTCACCTGCTTCTTCCTGGATACGGCGCCCGTGGTGTTCGAATACATGGAGACCATTCATCGGCTCCTTCGACCAGGGGGTATTTGGATTAATTTTGGACCCCTCCTATACCATTGGAAGGGCGGAGGGCCCATGGGCGTGGGGGAGGAGGAGGATGAGCGTTTCAGACGGTCGGTCGAGCTTTCCTGGGAGGAGATCAGGCATGTCATGACGGGACAGGAGGGGGAAGGGGGGGGTGCTTTCCGTTTCGATATGAAAAGGGAAGACTTTTGCGGGCCCGTTACCTACGCGGCGGATCCCACGTCGATGATGCGAACAGTATACGACTGTGTCTTCTTCGTTGCCGCGAAGAAGGGGGGGGAGGGCGATCGAGGAGACGCGGAGTGGTTGGCGCCACAGGCGCCCGTGCAGGGTAATGTAAAAAGAGCATTAAACATTTAGTCTCGATAACAAGTGGGAAGTGAATTTTGGGTAGAGAACTCTGCGGACTGCGGAGTTCGCGTGCTCCAAAATATCAAGTAATGTGGTGTGTGGACGAGACGAGAAAAGCGACATGAAATAGTTACTTTGATGCCAAACCCTATTCAGTACCCACGAAAGCCTTACAGAGTGTTCGTCTCTCTTGTCGACCCTTCTGAGCAGGCACTGAGATCCTAACACCCCCACTCATCCTCTCACCACACCTCCAAAGATGCCCCCGCCTCCGCATATGCCCCCTTATGCTTATCGAACAGCTCCAGCAGGGCTTTGACGTACACCTGATGGTACCTCTCCACGTCCTTTTGGCCGGGGTTCTCTATCTTGGGGAGCTGCACTGGACTGCCTATCACGGTGATTAACGGCTGGTCCCAGCCCGGCACCAGGAAGAGCTTGCCCACGAAGGCCACGGCCGGCATGCGATATTTGTTAACCCACAGCCTGACAGCGGTCAACCACGCCCAGTCGGGCAGTAGGGAGTAGTAGCACTTCTCCTCCCCGAACACGAAAGCAGGGTAGACGCGGTAGCCGTAGCGAAGCGCGTAGGCGATAAATCCAGTCCGTTTCCGGATGTAAATTCGGTAAGCGTTGCGTTGGTAAAGCGAGGCCTCTTCGAAACCCCCAGGAAGCAGGGCTAGGTTGGCACCTCTACTCATCCGAGCCTGCATGTAGGCTTTGCTGGCGTGCGCGCAGCCATTCCAGGAGAGGAAATCGCTGCCAAGGGTGCGGAGGCAAAAGGTGGAGGGAAGAATGGAGGGGAAGGAGATATCCCCATTGTTCGGCATTTGTGGGGATTAACCAAAGGGGCTGGACGGATTCCACTGGGTCAGAGTATCGCTTACCTGATGAAGGGAAGCCGTAGCAAGGCCTCGGTCACCAACCACTTCACGTGCGCGTGGCTCATGGTCGCGCTGGTGCTGGTCAGTGCCCACCCCACGGTCAGAATTCCGTGAGGATGCATGCAGATCAAGGACCTGGAACCCGGATCAATCCTCTCGAAGCCATCGAATACCACCTCTTGCGGGTGGAAGTACCGGTTGCCCGCACGGTAGATGTCGCGAACAAAAGCCCATTCCTTGGTGGGGAAGACAAAGCGATAGGCGTAGTATACCAGCAGTACCAGGACCAGGGTATGATCACCCTGGTACATGTCAAATGAGTCAATGCGGGAAAATCAGCGTGAAGAGTCGATCGTGTGTGTCGGCGCAAAACAAGAGTTAACAAGGCTCCGAGGGAGAAATAACGGCGGAGGTACGACAGAGCATTTGCGTTTCCCAACTACACCAACCATCGAGATATTTGCGACTTAAACCGCTTACCCTTGCTAACACTAAAAAAATCGCCAGAGGTATAACGATGACACCGAATAGCCAGACATAAACGAGAGAGGCCAATAGGAGGCCCCCGATTAGCCGCTCCTTGAAGCCTGGCTACGGTGTAGGTGAGGTGGAAGGGGCAACGGAGTCAAACATACCAGCAAAAGGATAGAGTGTTAGTCAGAGACGATGTTAATCGCCTTCTTAAAGAACGAAAGCCTCTTGCATGAATACATAGTGGCGAAAAACGTAGCTGAGGCTCGGGGATCATGTCGACAATGGGCCACGACCCTCGGGGCTTGACATTAGATGCACTTACCGGAGGACGACTGGAGACCCGAGCCCTGGAAACCATCAACACAAGTGTAGCTTTGTACTTCGCCTGAAGAAAGGTAAACAAATTTTCGTGGAAACTTATCTTTTGCAAACTGCCCCATGTACCTGGGGAGTATTTGGCTGGAGGAGGCGGGAGGTCGGCGAGGGCCCCTAATCAAACCCTTCTCACATGTTTCACGGGGACTTAAGCAATGATCGAACCCCCATCAAAGATCAATCGTCCATTCAATGATAAAACCCTGTTGTAGGACTCGTGTGCACCCTGCTTGCCCGGATTTGGGGACACACTGCGGGCCTTAATTATTAGGAATCGTATCCATCCAGGTTGGCCCCAGTAACTTGACTGGTCCCCATACATATCCCATTTTTCAACGACAATGCTGGATCCCTCACCGTTCTTGTATATGGAATGCATATCATGGCGTCAGATGTTTCATCACCGGGCTGGAAAGCTCAAGCAGCAAAACAAGAAGCACAAAGCGCGTCGACACCTTGCGTCAAAGCGTGCGGTTAAGCGCGATGAGGGCGGCAAGGTCACTGCTGTCAGCAGCCATGTCTCCGTCGCCTCGTCTGCGACATCACAACAGCGCCAAGGAAACAAACAACGTACCTTTGAGAACGATTTCAAGCGAGATCGCCTGAATCGTGCCCGGCAGGTGAAGGAACAAAAGCGGCAAGAGCAGTTTTTGCAGCGGCGCACAGGCTCCGCCCTCGGTCCTCCCTCGCTTGTGGCCCTCCTGCCTCTTTCTCCGTACTGTGACTTACATGCCGTACAAGAGGCTCTGTTTAAGACTCGCGAGCCTCAGCAAACAGCAGGAGAAGACGTTACCGTGTCGAGCCCAGGGGTTCTGACAGCGGCTTTCAAGAATTTGAAGCAACGGTTTACCTTTTTGCTCCCCCACTTCGGGCTGCACGAGGCCTTGGAGGCAGCGCGAGTGGCAGACATGGTACTCTTCATCCTGGATGTGAGCAGGGGCGCGGAAGGGGCCGTGGCGCAGGAGGGTGACCTGGCGCTCTCAGCCTTGCGGGCCCAAGGTCTGCCCACGACCGCCGGCATCATCCACGGGCTCGAGCACCACAAAGGACGCAAGAGCGAGCCCGAGCTACGGCGGTACGGGCATCGCTTCTTCGAGACGGAGTTTGGGGACAAAGTGAAGGTGGGAGAGAGCAGCAACCTGGCGCAGTTGCTGCGCGTCCTGTCCACGCCCGGCGTGCCCAGCGTGCAGTGGCGGCAGGCGCGGTCCTTCATCGTGGCCGACGCCGTGAGCTGGTCCCCGGCGCCAGGGAAGAGACGGGAGGGGGGTGCGCACGAGCGAGGTCTGGGGGAAAAGGGAGGAGGGGGAGGGTCTGAGGAGGACGAGGGCGTGCTGCGCGTGCGGGGCTATGTGCGTGGGAAGCCTCTGGGCGTCAATCAACTTGTGCATGTCCCGGGTTTGGGCACCTACGCCATGGATCGTATCCTCAGTAGCCGGGGGGAAGAGCCTTGCCCCTTGCGAGGCGCATCCTCGTCCTCGTCACACATGCAAGTCGCGCTTTCTATGGAGGGTGCTGGAAGCCATCAAGAGGAGGTTATGGCGGTGGCAGCGCCAGGACCGGCGCGGGAGGAATCTTTGAAGATGTGGGCGGACGTGGACGAACTTGCAGGCGAGCAGACCTGGCCTATGGCGGAAGAAGGGGGGGGAGAGTGGCCTGACGACAATGAGGAGGGGGGGGAGAAGAAGAAGAAGGCTGCGAAGGAGAAGCTGTTGAAAAACATGTCGGAGTATCAGGCGTCCTGGTTCGAGGGGGAGGAGGAGGAAGGGCAAAATGACGAGGGTGGGGAGGAAGAGGAGGGGGAGGAGGAGGAGGGGGGAGGAGGAGGGAGGGGGGAGGAGGAGGGGGAGGAGGAGGAGGACCCGAGCCTATCGATAGGAAGTGAACAGCAGCGACAGGGGCGACAAGTGAGGCAGCTTGAGAAGGACGAGCTTGAGTTTCCCGATGAAGTGCAGACTCCGGACGATCGGCCCGCCAAGGAGCGTTTCGCGCGCTACCGAGCTCTTAAGAGCCTGCGCACCAGCCCCTGGGATCCCAACGAATCCCTGCCTCGCGAGTACGCTCGGATATTCAAATTTTCGAGTTTCGCGGCCTCTCTTGCGCGAGTGACGAGCGAGATGGAGGAGAGAGAAAAGGCGCAGAATCGGCACCTGCTGGCGACCTTGTTGCCCCCACCCGCGTCGAGCGCGACGAAGAAAAAAGATGGGGAAGACGACAGTGGGATGGAGGTGGAGGATGAGAAGAGCAGCGACAAGTTCTCGGAGGGATTTGTGCCGGCGGGCTCCTACGTCACGTTGGAGCTCGGGGGTGTCCCTGCAGAGGTGGGAAAGCGAGCGCAGCGATTGCAAGCAAAGGAGTCGCCGTTGACGGTCTTCTCGTTGCTGCGTTACGAGAACAAAGTAAGCGTCTTGCACTTCAACATCCTCAGGCACCCGGCTTGCTCGACTCCCGTTAAGAGCAAAGACCGGCTCGTGTTCTACACCGGCTTCCGCTCCTTCGAGGCCCGCCCCGTCTTTTCGGAGCACAACCTCAATTGCGATAAACATAAATTTTCTCGCTTCCTACACGGGGGTCGTTTCGCCGTGGCCACCGTCTTCGGGCCCGTCAGTATGCCCCCTTGCCCTGTCCTCGTGTTTCGCAAGTCGTCGCCTGACGAGATGGGAGAGGAAGGCAAGACAGCCACGACGCCGTCCAGGACGGGAGGAAGCGGCTCTTTTCTGCCTGCCACAGCCGGGGTGGTGGAGCCAAAATCACACACGCGCGACCTGACCTTGGTTGCCACAGGTACTCTACACACTGTTGATCCGGACCGCATCATTTTGAAGCGCATTTTGCTGACGGGTTACCCCATACGAGTCAAACGGCGCTCGGCGGTCGTCAAGCACATGTTTTACAATCCCGAGGACGTGAAGTGGTTCAAACCCGCGGAGTTGTCTACCAAGCTCGGTGCGGCGGGGCACATACGGGAACCAGTCGGCACGCATGGTCTGATGAAAGTGCGATTCAACCGAATTATCCAGCAAAGCGACACAGTATGTCTGCCTTTATTCAAACGGGTTTTCCCCAAATTGTTGCCTGAGGAAATCGAAGAGGATGGTGCCCATGCGGCGCACTTTCCTTAAGATGATATACATTGGAAGGCGTCAACATTATTCGGAGGTCAAGGAAGTAAAAAATATTCGTGGAAGAAAAAGGCATGTATAGTATCCTGCGCAACGCGATGACCACATTTATAAGTTTGCAGGTCACGATAACCACATTTGTAAGTTTGCAGGTACGCCGCAAGGCAGATCCCCGCTCTCATAGTCTAGTGGTTTATGACTCTGCACTTTGAATGCAGCAACCTGGGTTAGCGACTGATCGGATCTGATGACCAGGTACCCGACACGAGCCCCGTTCGAATCCCGGTGAGAGCTTTACCTACTTTTTTTTCCCTGTCACTCTTTTTTACTTCATGCCTCATCATAAAGTTAGTGCTGACCATTTATTAATGTTTCTTAGAAACATCATAAGATTGAACATCTCGAAATGAGTTGGCACGGGCATGAGATTCGTTTTACAGATCATAAGTGGTACGACTTGGCCCATAATTTTATTTGCTGTCTTCAACTACAACGACGCCACAACCCCATCTTGTTGCGAGAGGAAATAATTTGTATTGCCCATTCGACGGAAAAATTTGCACAAATTGTGGCGACGCTCTCTTACTTGCGCAAAAGGCGCTTTCCCAAATCCAGGCCCTTTCCCCCTTTTCCGTCTTCTCTCCTCCTACCTCGCTCGAGGGCCTCGCTAAAGAAGTCTGAAGATGACGCCCTCTCTTCCAGTGTGGGCGTGCCCTCTTATTTGTGACCTTTGCATGGAGTCTGCAAAGGTTGGATTACCTTCCCACCTACCACTTTCATCTTCCTTACTTCTGATGATTAATAGGCATTCCGCACTTTCGATTTTGATTCTGCGAGGCCGTAGGCATTCGTGTTCGCATTCGAACACGGAGGGGGGAAATTTTGGAGCGCTACGTGACGGGACGATTCCTTCACATAAGAATTTTTCCTCGTTAAAAATGAAACCTTCGTCGCCATATAGATTTAATATTGACGGCAATGAGATGTATACATTTTCTGTCATTCGTGTATGAAGATCGTGGCAAGTGGCGACCGCTGCACGCTTATAAGTCTGCAAAACGGTCGGGTCAATCGCTTCCATCACTTAGCTTTGCCGGCGCCCGTCGCCTACCTCGCTCCTTGCACAATGAATGTCTCATCAGCACTCATGTGAAGTGACGTCTGTGTACACCATGCGCATACCTTTGTGCCCGTCACGTACTTGTAAGGTCATTTTGCTGCCGGATGTGTGCTCTTCTCACTTCACCCCACAAATGCCTCTCCCACCCAGGCCCTTAGGAGTCATGACGCTGGGGTCTGTCACCCCGCGACTGTGGGCAAGTGCTTTCACCATTGGTCTATCGTCACTTCTGTTTGGTTACAGCCTGGCATGCTTGAATACGGTGATCACTTGCTCCTCTACGCCTTGCCCAAAGGGCTCAATCCTTACAAACCTGAATCTAAGTCTGGAGGAGCAGCAATTGGCCACTGCCATGACAATTATTGGCGCGATGCTGGGAGGGCTTTTCGCTTCCTATCCAAATGATCACTTTGGCCGGCGCAAATCCCTTCTGTTCAACAACATTTTTTTCCTGATAGGCGGCGTGCTCACGGCAATAGCCTCCCTGGACTCCATCCTCGTCGGCCGCTTCTTGCTCGGACTGGGCACAGGGGTCGAGTCGATGGTGGCGCCTGTTTTGCTATCTGAAATTGCATCGAACGAAACTCGAGGAGCTATCACGAGCTTGCATCAGCTTAACATCACGCTGGGCATTCTAATTAGCAATTTGATCGGCTACGGCTTTGTTCCCAACGTGGACGGAGGCTGGCGGTATGTCCAGCTCTTTGTCGTCTTGCCTGCAGCGCTGCAAGTGCTTCTTTTCTGGTTGGTTCCCGAGTCCCCCCGCTGGTTACTCCGGGCTGACCGTAGAGAAGATGCCAGGAGTGTTTTAAGCCATCTTCGGATATGCAAGAAGGGCGACGCGGCGGCTCAGGCAGCCGGAGCGGAACTCGTTGAGGCTGAGCTTGTTGCCTTGGAGCAGGAGTTGGGATCCAGCATGAAGCAACCCACAGCCGGCTGGAAAGAGACTTTTTCTTACGGTAAAGCGATGCGGATCGGAATGTTGATGATGTTTTTTAGCGCCATGACAGGCATCAACACGGTTATTTTCTACTCCACTACCATTTTCGCGTTGGCGGGAGTGGAAAATGCCTTTTTGGGCACCGTGCTGGTGGGTATTTTGAATGTCATCATAACGATGGTGTCGGGCTACCTTGTAGACAAGGCGGGGCGGAAAGTCCTCTTGACGGGCGGGACCTGGATCATGCTCGTCAGCCTCCTTCTTTTGGGCAGCATCCTGCTGGCGGATGGCGTGCCCCCAGTCGCGATCTCGATTGTGGCCGTCGGATCTATGCTCCTCTACGTATTTGGCTTCGCCATCGGTATCGGAGCTGTGCAGTGGGTGGTAGTGGGCGAGGTGGTTCCCACCAAGATCCGATCCAAAGCGTACTCGATCTTTGTCACTAGCAACTGGACCGCAAATCTTGTCATCTCCCTCGTTACGCTTTCCCTCATCGACGCCCTGGGTAAGTCCCTGGCCTCCGCCGGGTCTTCCGTTGAGAAACAGGAGCAGTTGGGTGTGGCTCTTTTGTACATGTGTTTCGCGGGAATGTGTGTCTTGTGCTTGCTCTTTCTCTACTTCCTGGTGCCGGAGACGAAGCATCAGCACGAGGAGAAGGCTGCTCACCACCATCGTCGCGTCTCCTCCGAGTTCGCAGTGGCTGATGTTGATATCATCACCGAGGTGGTGCACTGCGTGGAGGCTCACGGAGAGGGCCCAGTCGACGCTCCGGCCGACGCGGCGGGCAAGCAGCCGGTGTCAATGGTGTAGAGAAGAGAGGCAGGAACAGCGACACAAGATACAAGAAAGGACTAGAGCACGGGCAATTAAAGTACTTGTAAGACTGCAATCATCTAGGGGTGAAGTGAGTCGTAAGGAGACAGACAATGCGAAGTAACAGGATACCGACGCTGAAGATGATGCCGAAGGCGGTGCTCTGAAAGCCTCTGTAACAGCAATAGCTGGAGCAATAGAACGTGTGGAATGAGAGTAGAAATGCATGATGGGTCAGACAGGGCGTCAGTCCAGGTAAAAACGAAAAAAAAATCCTGGAACACTTTGGTAAAGGGTCATAAGGAATTGTGAAAAAGGGGAAGGATATCATGGCCTAAAGCTTCGACTCGGATAAAGCTTGATGGACAAATATATGCATGAATGGAGCAATAGCAGGCAAGTCGCCTTGGGACGGCACTGTTTCACTGCCATTGGGGCGCAGTGTGGAAGCGTCGGAAGGGTTCGAGGGGGCACATGGGGGGGAAAGATGCATGCTTATGGGGGAGTCCATGCGAGTAACGCCTGTGGAGAAGTGTTGTTCTGCGGTCATTGTAATAGAAGGGATGTGTGATTGCTGTGGTGCGGCACTGGCGACCTCCCGTTGTGACAGCAGCAAAACGGGCGAAGGACTGCCGCAATGGGGACGAAAGACATCAAATTGGAAGACATTTGCGGGGCATCGAAGAGTCTTTGCAGTCGACATTGATGACGAGCATTCTTTCACCCTATGTATACTATGTTCATGCATGCCCTCCTCCTATTCATAGTATGTTCCGGCGCACGCAGGTTGACGGGACCCCAACGGTGGGATGGCGGACTTTCATTCCGTTTCTTCCCTTTATCCAACATCCACAAACTTTCGACCTTACCCCCCCCCCCCCCGCCCTCCTCT